AAAGTCTTAGTCCTGCAATTCTGTTTTTAAATAAATGTTTATCTGGCAGCAAAAGAGTAGACTCACTACAGCGCCTGAGGAACTTACCTTTGCATAACTGGGTCCTCAACATGAAGACTATGTTAACAGAAGAGTAAGTTCTGTTCTTAGAATTTAAGTAATAAGCTATTACAAATCTCCTGCCATCTCCTCATCTAAAGTGACATAGTTTTGAAATTTGAACAATCTCCACCTCTTACTTTGACACAAGACTGCATAATTTGGAATCTGGATATATACTAGATTTTATCCTTCATATAACCTGCAGCCAATGGATGAATGAATAAATCTGAAGAATCATTAGCGGAAAGCCTCGCTAAACTTGCTACTCTAACCTTTTAATATTTTCCTTTGTGATACCATTGGGCTAAACTCCGCACTGCTCCCCAGCCCAATTCTCCCGAGATGACACCAGTCACATGGAAGGCACATTGGTTCTGGCCACTTAACCTACTCTCTATCTCCTGCAGAGTTCGGCAAATGGTCTCCCTGCTTCCCTCGCTGTTCAGCATACAATCCAAATGACCGCTACCTACAGACCTTCAAGGTAAAAATACAAATAATCTCATTTGCAGATACTCCCACGCTGCAGAAATTACTCGTGTTAGACCACAAACCTGATGCTTCAGCAAAGAGGACTCCAAGGAAAACACTGCTATAGCCTTTTGCTGTACAGGCACAGGGACAACCACAATGGCTGCATTTCCTTCCTTAACCCACGTTACTAGGTTTTACCAGGTTTACTAGATATTTCACACAGGTGTCAATTAGGCTCCCTAGGACAGTCTGCAGACACTGCCAAACCACAGCCTGCAAACGCTTCCAAATACATATCTCGAAAGGCATTAAAAAACCCCCCTAAAACTTTTTTATCCGATGGGTATGCCTGCTTTTTAATGTTTTGTTTTCTTTGGGATGGACTAACACTTCTGCCACTCAAACACTGCTCAAATGACACATCAGTTTATGGAATTTGCTGCTCCCCAAAATTACATTGTTAAAACATGAGGAAGGAGATGGGGAAAGGGGCGTATGTGATTAAACAGGCATACTGAAAAAGGTGGTGTAACTAAGTCCTTTACCTCTTACACATTTATTCAAAAGGACATGTTTCTGGTTACTTTAAAGTCACAACTACAAAATGGTGTTGTATGACCCAATCACAAAGCTGTACGGTGAACATCACACACTTACTCAAACACGTTACATATGGGACTGCTTTAACGTAACATTATTTGAAATCATACAGCCTAAAAAATAACCTACAGTATGTGGCATATAGTTGTACAGACTTCTTGCTGAAGAACATATTTTATCAAAATAAAGATGAATGAGACCCCAAAATATTCATCAGGTGATTTTCTTACAAGTAATAAAATCTTTTACTTGGTATGCCAAAAGTTTTCTCTTTGAGGCACAAAAATAAATGCAGACACTAGGATTTTGTAAGAGTGAAGAAAATGTTTTCCACAATATAATTATATCTAGAGCTTCTTCCAGGCTACTCCAAATCATTTTGTGCAAGCATTTTGGTAACTGAATCAAATATGTGAAAGCAGACAGCACAGTGAAGTAAATTAGAAATAAAAATGAGAGTATTTAAAACTAGCAGACCAATTTTCAACATATGGAAGGACTGAAAATTCTCCTATTAAATTAGTTAGTAAAACCAAAATCAGTAGCACAGGCTAACATACACTAGAAATTATATAAGTTAACCATTAAAAAATGTACCATGTAAATTAGATATGGGAAAGATAGTAATGGTAAAATGCCATATACTGATGTTGCACAAAAATGCTTTTTTGCAAGAATAAGCCTTAGGTCCAGTTTTGTTTACATCTTCAATAGATGTATGTATCACACTAATGAAAGTTACCAATTACATTGAACCAGAAAGAACTGCACATAAAAGGGAAAAAATAAAAATAATTTAGTGCCCTCAGAGATCAGAAGTTCAAAGTTTATAAAACCCAGGACAATCATGAAACAGGAATTAAGTATCTAGCTGCAAAAGAATCGTAACAACATACTGAAAATGAAGAAGAAACTTGATGTTATTTAAAACAGTTGTCAGAAATAAAGAAATACGATTTGGGTTTGTGAGACACTAGTCAGAAGACCAAAAGTTTGGTCTTCCTACACAGAAGCATCAAGTTACAGAGGAAAAAACCAAACAAACAAAAACCACACTTAACAGATGACCTTCAGACTAAGTCCAACAAATCATGCATGTGGAATGGTGTTGTGGGCACCAAGATATGGAGAACTGAGCTAAAAAGCTGAAAACAAGAAAAAGTTGTGTAAAAAGAGCAGACTAAAAAACAGCTTGAAGAAAGTGGAAAGGCATGGAAATATACAGCTAGAACCAGTGCGTGCATGCAGATTCCAAATTACAAAGATGATGAGAAATATGTAAAATGGCACAAAACATGTGCTTGGAATACTGGCATGAAGTTACAAAAAAGAACTACTAAACATCATGTAAATAATCCTGTCAGTGAGAGGCAATCATTAAAATAATCTTCAAAAGGAAGCCTAATTGTTTAGAACATATATAAAACCTCACTGGCCAAGACAATATTAAAATGCACAAGTCTAAACCCCTGCTTTAGCAAGCAGATGGACTAGATAACCTATGTAATTTTTTCATCCCTAACTCCTATGATGATGTTCAGAAGATCTGACAGGCTCATGCACAATACACTGCAGTTCTACAAGTATGTGAGCAAGTACAGTAAAAAGACATTGACATCAATTATGAAGACCAGCACAAAAATATATATACTCCACAACCTCTTTGTAAGGCTACATTTGTTTTGTTTTGTTTTTCAAAGGCACCTCATCCTCTAGCTATTGCCAGCTTTTAAAAAAATCACTTTTCAGTTTGAGCAAGAGCTCAATAGTGAGAAGGAAACATCTTTCAATTCACATTTGAACAGCCACTTCTTGCATTCCAATTGTAATCAGAATGACAATCTTTAAAAACAAGCATGCCGGCCTATTAGTTTTATGTACAGCAATTTAAACAACTGTAACTACATATTGTATTGGGTAAGCAAAAGCACAACATTCATTTCGTACTCACACCATTATCCTTTGTATACACAAACTCAAGAGAACTCTTACTACTAAAACATTAAAATGCACCCATGGAGTCTTCCCTTACTAGACACATTTAATACATGTTTACAATATATATATACACATATATAATATACATAACTTTCAGAATTTTTCAAATAAATCTTTGTAATTTCCTCTTCAAAAAGAAATAAAATGACACTGAAAGAATAGGAGACAAGTACACAGAACTCTCACAAAGTTGAACGCTCAGTTTTGCAGCCAAGTTTCCCCCTTTCCATCATAACCAAAACACTTTATAAAAACTAAATAATCTGAATTACTATTGTAGTCATCTGTTTCATGGTAAAAGTTCTAATCTTATCTATGGAAATATATTGCATATCAATATCATGAAGTGACATATCTGAATATTCTGAGCAATAAAAGGTATTCCAGGATATTTTAGCAGTAAATATAATGTGTTGCAGGCTCAAACAGCACAGGTCAACCTTTTATTCTAAATAATATAGTTGGTTTAAACTCTGAGATCAGCTTCAAATGTGGTCCCATCCCCAAATGCCACTCTAAAAACAACACAGTCAAACCCTATGTAGATATCTTTCAAAAATTCCTTTTTAAAAAGTGTCAGTTTAAAGGTAAAGATTTATTTATCTGTTTCCAGTCTTAACCTCAGGCTGGTATGTGGAAGAGTTGCATTGGGTTCTTTCCTACTCACATCAGCACCAGAAATCATCTCCAGCAGAAATTCCGCCTTCCATTCCCATTAGAGGAAAACACCAACTTCAGGCTTATGAGCAGTAATAACTCTGATGATGACACACAACGGAAAAGAATCCACTCACCTTCCTTTAAGAAGGTATAAATAGACTAAAAGATCGGATTAAAAGTTATTTGACATTCGTATCAACAGAGAAGCTCTGAATAGATAAACAAAGCACATCTGTTGAGTAATTACAAGAAGCACTCATTCTTCAGGTAACCTAATCAATGGCACGATACACCCAGTGAAGCGGACAAGTTAAAAAGTTCCACAAATGGTGAAGTTGGGAAATACCTCTAGAAGTAGCAGAATCTCTGACACTGATGGAACTTTGTATAGTTCCCACCTATTGCACTAGTAGGACTTACACAAAGCATCAGGTATAGGTTTAATCTTCAAAAGAAGTATTTCACTGTTATCCTTAATGCCCAGAATGATACCCTTTTTAGCAGGAACAGAAAGAGAAGATGAACATTTGATAGTTAAATTGTAAGACAGCTTCTTTGGAAAGCTTTGTGATAATTTCTTGTGCCAGATCTCCAAGAAAAAACAGCATTATAAATCTGAATAAGTTAAATCTGCTACTGCAGTATATACAGACTGCTTCAGTCTGTTGTTAATTGGGACTAGACTAAAGGCTCAGCTTCTAGCCACACGCTAATACAGTCTTTAAAAAATTATATAAATTTTTTTGCAAACTAAATATTTACTGTATAACACAGAAGATGTAACAAAAACTTTACTGCATTTTAATTTATGTTAGTAATTTGCTTTCCTTTAACTGCATTTATCTTAGGCTAGCAGCCAGGTGGCTGAGATTAACTATCCACTACCACTCTCTGAGCAAGATCTACTTTATTAACACAGTGCCTCTCACATGACACAGTAACGAGCATGTGAACTGACACTTTTTCCAGGTGATTTAAGTACACTAAGATTCCTCAATGAGAAGCATCCTAGAAGTTCCCCTCTTTTCCTACTCCCTGATGCAATTAGACCCCTTCTTTCCAGTACTCTATTTTATTAATAGAGAATACATAGACCTAGTTTCGCCCAAGGCCTGCCTGGACGAAAATTCACACCCTCTGAAATAAAAGCATTTCTTTTGTTTTTTAACTATTTGAAACTGAGAGTTTCCAAGCTCTCAGCACCAGCTGAGCTCACAGAAACCAGAACAAACATCAATTTAGAAAACAGCACCCTGCAAAACTAAACACTTACAAACATTCTCTGAATTATAGGGCAGGATAAGATGACTCATGCCCTCCTCTTCTCTTTTGTGCAGCTGGTTAAATGTATACAAAGCTAGAGTTGAAAGGGAAGCACTCTGTCATACAAACACTTTAGCAAGGGCATCTGCTCCTGCACTGGCAATATAACATTTGGAGGGATGGAATGCCACATCATGAATGGACTCATCAAATTTTTTGCGATGAGCAGTAAATTCTTGGATGCAGGTCTTGCTTTCAAGATTCCACAAGCGAATCGAACAGTCATGACCTAAAGAAAGGGGAAACAGTTTTCTTTAAAATTCTCATGTCTGCCACCATTATGAGAAAAAGAAAACGAAATCTGAATGTACTTACTGCCAGACATCAAATACAAGCCATTAGGATCAACAGCTAAACTTGTAACTGCATCTAAGTGAGCTACCATGGAGTGGATCAGTTTTCCTTTAAAAGAAAAGATTTATTTAGGTTATTTTCTGCAATTCACTTTGTTATCTGTATTCACTGCTTTAAACCCTACCACAGCTCATCTTATAAATACAAGATCTTGTCCCATGATCGAATCATTAAAATTACGCAAGAAGTCATTCTTTTAATGTTTACAGACTCAGGAGAGCCACAGTACCAACATCACCAACTTTGTTAGACCTTTGTTTTTTGCGTGCAAAACCACAGTGAAGCTGCAATCACTGTGCATTTTAAATATCTGCCCCTTAAGTGAATTAAGCGAGTTCAGGAGTAAGATCTTGACTGGGAAGGAAGACAGGGGCAGAGTATACTAATAAGCAATGAATATAAACTACATAAGAATAAGGGATAATTTTAGTCAACTCAGAGAGAATTAATGTTCTATTACTGCTTATTATAATTACAGTAATGATTTCACATTAAAAGTAAAAAATCATGAGTCAAATGTGGGGGTTTTGTTGCAGAAGATAATAAAACAGAAAAAAAAAAGAGTGGCTGTTTCCTCTACTATTTATTACAGAACTACATCATCAACCAAATCAGCTATTTTCAGCTTTTTCCTCAGCTTCCATTGGGTCCTTTCACCTCTTCTTATTTAACATACATTTGGGGAGTGGAAAACTTAAAATCAACAAGAATACTGAAAGATCTCAATTTATCTTTTAAGACAGTGTGACCTGGAAGCAGAGAAGTCACAAACGGAAGATTATCAGGATTCACAGTCAGAATACCAGATTAATACTACCATTCCTATCAAAAAGTCCTTTAAAACCTAAGAGATGTATAATTCCACGTCTCAGTGCGACTTTCACGACAAATTAGAAAAAATATTATAGGCTGTCCGGCTGTTTCTGCAGAAGTAAGAGATTTGGAGAAATACAGCGGATCAAATTGAGCGGGAACTTCTACCTCCACGCCATCAGACAGAGGTCTTGGAAGCACTAAAGGAATGCCAGAGCTTCCTGCTCTCACATCAAAATAACACAGACAACACAATAGAAGAAACATGAACATAAGCACATGAACATTTTAAAAAAGCTTCCTTTTCTGTTAAATATTGATAAACCCCATACATAAGGCATTTTAAAAGAACAGACAGAGAATGACGCAGATTCTTTATCACTGTGCCAATGAAGTTTTAACTGGGCTGGCAATCTTTCGGCTCTACTGGTGATGAGAAATTTCTGTTTCAAAGGATATACAATTCTTAACATCCCTCAGCATTTATGTGAATAATATTAATCATGATGAAATTCTGTTCATGTTTTATGTTATACAACCACTATGACTAGGACCTGCTGAAAAGCTGCATACCTGTATTGTTGTCGTAGAATTTGATGTGTCTGTCTTCATGAGCAGTGATACTAATTGGAAGAGTTGGATGGCTGATGACTCTGTTTATCTGACAGGAGGAACTGACTGCTAAGAAAAAACCCACACTATCAATACATGTAAATTGCTAAGTTCTTTGAAAGATTGCTACTAAGAAATAAATATGTAATCAATCTTATCTGCAAAACAATTCTCACCTTTATATAAGGGAAACTCTCAACTAGCACCTTATGTAATGTGGTTTACTCTAAAATACTTTCCAAATTACACACACACAGGGGCATATATAAACCGTATGTATGAGTGTAAATACAAACAAATAAGGTCCAACTTTTGGCCATGGTTTTAGATGGGCGCATCAGGCAAGAATGTGAAGCCAAAAACTGAGTGAAAATACCTTTTTTGCACTTCCCCACCTCCACATTCCTCCTCTGGTCAAGCCAAACTTTCTTCATTACACACAGACAGTACAGGAAAATTAACATTGCAGGCAGCATGTTTCCAAGCAAACAGGATCCTGTGCCCTCATCCTTACAGAGCAAAACCCACCTACTATTACTTGATACACATAGATTAAAATTCTTATTGAAGAAAAGGATGCTAGGCTATTCATAAGAGAGCTATTTTCCTAGCCTTCAAGAATCTTGAAATATCATATATATATACACACACAAAAAAAGTATAGGAGTTTTTTTGATTAGAAATCTAGGCATTTCTGTGATGCACAGACTAGTGCAACACTGGTCTTAAGAGGCATAGATTACCACAAAAAGTGGCCACTCCAGAGAACATCAAAATACAGTTATCTCCTTTCATGTGGGAGTTGACTGTTTTTAGTTAAACTGCTGCCAATGAACACTCCCATCATCTAATCAAAATTCTTACTAAAATAAACGAAATAGAATACTACTATAGGATCACTTGCTAACAAGGAGGTAAAGACTTCAATTTACGTCATTCTATAAAAATCTGAACCTTCAAGTAGTGAGTGTCAGCATCCACAGGACAGTTAAAAATTTATGAAGTGTAAATTAAGGAAAAACACATCCATATTAATAAATCCCCTTAAAAGCACATGAGACTGCATCACATCCAGCTATCCTCACAGTTTTAAAATGCCAAGCAGAGTGAGGCTTATATTGACCAGCGTAGTCCTTAAGTGGTGGTGGTAGAGCATTTCAGGTGACTCATTTTCCTCTGGCCTATTTCTTGTAGAAATAATTTTTTTTTTTTTTTTAAATATATGTAAGCTTTATAGTACTTCTACATAACTAAAGATACTAAACAGGGACTGCTGGTTACCATACTGCAGTCTCATTTTCTTAAAGGAATATTACTGAATTACCGTAAGGAGGAGGAGGTGAAAAAATAGAAGAAAAAAAAAAAGAAGAAAGGTAACATCCACTGAATAGATAACTGATTTAGGACTATTTTTTCAGACAGGAACAAAGATGTGGGTTAAAAAAAGAAATCCTGCACAGCAAAGAATAATATAAAGAAGGGAGATGGCACTTTCCATTCCCTCTTATAAAATTACAGTCATTCAACTATTTTAAAACAGACAAGCAAACCCAACAAGAAGGGCTTACTCCCTTTTAAAAATATAATTAGACAGTAGAATTCACTGACACAAAACTTTTAGGGTAAAAAAATTATCAAAATTTTCAAAAAGACCAAACGTTTATATTGTTATCAGGTTACCACTTTGGCCTGAATATGAAACCTCATGCTTCAGCTCATTCTGGTCTTTTTCCTAATGCTGGGGTGAAATAATTTACTGATAGCAAGCTCCTTACAGTTTCCTCTAAAACTTCTGATATGGGTTGCTGCCATGATCCAAGGCATTACATGGGACTTTGTAAATACTCTTCCACTGAAGCTTTGCTTTTCTCCTACAGTAAAACTTCAACTAAAGCCCAACTGCAAATAAGCCAAAAGTGAATATAAAACTTAGAAAAGGGATACCTCTGAGGAAAAATAAAAAAGAAACCACACACACACTCCCAAATTTTTAATAAATTCAACTTTAGATTTTCCTGATATTACCTCTATCTTGCAATTTTGGACTGAAGAGAGAATGGAAATCTTGAAGCTGCAATGATCACTGGGTTCTATTAGTTAAAAAAACCTGTGCTTTTCCTTGTGCTATTGTTCCTTGAAGAGGAATTCAGATAGCGTGGGCTTGTTTCTTCTACTTTCTTGCAAAAGTATGTGCACTGTTCTGCTACTGAAATACCCACAAGGTCTGTTGTAGTAGTGATAATTTGCTTTTACATCTCAAAACACAGCTTGTAACATAATTCATGCTATAATGTATCATGACACTCCATAATTGTTTGGAAACATTGAAAAGACTATCAACAGTATCAATCTTAAACAAGAAATTATTTTGTTTCCGGTTTGTTTTTTTTTTTTTGATACATACTAGTATCTACACTGGACTCCAGGGTAAGAATTCGTTGCCGTGTCTCCATGTTAAAAATGCTAGTGTGTCCACTGTTAAATGATGCTACCATGAGGCTTGGGTCACTGCTCACAAGATCTACTGATGAAGGGATTCCCATTTCTAGAAAACAATGTAGAGAACATTTTCATAAGATTTAGTTGGTGTAAGGAAAACAAACAAAAAAAACCCCAAAAATCCAAATCAGTAAGCATTTTAGTATCAAAAGGGTCATGATTATGAAAGGAAATGTTACATTTTAAAATCTACATTATACCAATCTAAATAGATTGCCCTGCATGATCACTATTTTAGTCCTATTTTTCTGATATGCATATCAACAACATTCTTTATTAAGATGCTGTATCCAGAACTGCAGCTGGACAGAAATCTACTTGAAATTAAAAAAGTAAGAACACCCTGCCCCCTTTTCCTTCCTTTAACTGTAAGAGCAATTTTCAACCAAACCTCCATTGCATCAAGTAAGAGGACATGAAATTGAAGTGGTAAAGTCATTAACATGACAGATGATTAACATTATTATTAACCTGGGCAAATTCAGAGCTTAAAAAAAACCCCAAAGCTTTCCAGGTCCAAATTTTACATGCTGACACTGTCAGCACAGGAAGTTACATAAATACAATATAAACTCATATTACAAATGAGCTTCTTCCATCCTGCCTATTATGGTATACATCCGATCTCCTTACACTGTAGCAATCTGAACACTGCAGGACAGAAGGCCAAATCAGCAGAGCTTGGGTACAGGAAATATCCCTTAGAATTTTTCTCCTCGAATGTCCTCTTCACCACTCGTTATGTGAAAGAACAACACCAGCTGCAACAGATGCCAGGAGGAGGAGGAAGTAGTACAGAGTGAGACACTGAATGTTAAGCAGCCTAATGTCCATGGATCCAAGTAACACAGGAATATCATCACCTCTCTCTAAACCTAAGATTCATGCGAGAAATGTCTTTCTTGGACACACAACCTCAGGAACATTACTCAGGAATGCTGGTACTTCCCTACAGGTACTCAAAAAAAGCCAAAAAGGATTGGTGTGAGAAGAAAACATGTATTGTTTCTGAAGTGACCTTTTGTACCACTTCCATGCCTGCTTATCTGCAGCTTCCTGATAAGCCTACAATGGTTAATCTAAAGGACTTAAATGATGACTGCTAGATATTTTAGAGAGTTTGCTCAAGGTTCTCAATGAGCCATAGGAAAACTCAGTTTCAAAGGAGGATCTCTGAATGTCACAACTGTGTTCCATTCCAGTTTGGAACATAAAAAACCCAAAGATTAGCTCTGTGAGGCAAGACTACTCCCCCTTCCCCCTTAATTTAATAATTAAAACCAAACCCAAACAAACAAAAAACAAAACAAAAAAACCAACTAACCAAACAAACAAAAAACCCAAAACAAAACAAAAAACACTGCCAGGAAGTTTCCAAAGTAGACAGGTAGGCGAGCTGGCAGCAAACCAGTTATGTTTTTCACAGAACCCTGCAGACCTTTGGAAACATAGTTCTGCCAGAACTAAAATACATGAAACATTTCTATTTTGCTCAGCCTAATTTAACTAAAAAGTAATGGCAGATCTGACCAGCTTTACACCATAATTCAGTAAGTGTTCAGTGGCATTCTCCAGGGGTCGGTATTGGGACCAGCAGCACTGTTTAACATCTTCATCAGCGACATGGACAGTGGGATTGAGTACACCCTCAGCTGTGCCAAAGACACCAAGCTGTGCGGTACGGTCGATGTGCTGGAGGGAAGGGATGCCATCCAGAGGGACCTTGACAGGCTTGAGAGGTGGGCCCGTGTGAACCTCATGAAGTTCAACAAGGCCAAGTGCAAGGTCCTGCACGTGGGTCAGGGCAATCCCAAGCACAAATACATGCTGGGCAGAGGATGGATTGAGAGCAGCCCTGAGGAGGACTTGGGGGTGTTGGTTGATGGCAAGTTCAACATGACCCAGCAATGTGCGCTTGCAGCCCAGAAAGCCAACCGTGTGCTGGGCTGCATCAAAAGCAGTGTGACCAGCAGGTCGAGGGAGATGATTCTCCCCCTCTACTCCACTCTCATGAGACCCCACCTGGAGTACTGCGTTCAGCTCTGGGGCCCCCAACATAAGAAAAACATGGACTGGTTGGAGCGAGTCCAGAGGAGGGCCACGAAGATAACCAGAGGGCTGGAGCACTTCTCCTATGAAGACAGGCTGAGAGACTTGGGGTTGCTCAGCCTGGAGAAGAGCAGGCTCTGGGGAGACCTTATAGCAGCCTTCCAGTACCTGAAGGGGGCCCACAAGAAAGCTGGAGAGGGACTTTTTACAAGGGCATACAGTGATAGGACTAGGGGTAATGGCTTTAAGCTGAAAGAGGGTAGATTTAGATATGACATAAGGAAGAAATTCTTCACTATGAGGGTGGTGAGGCACTGGAAGAGGTTGCCCAAAGACTTACGGATGCCCCATTCCTGGAAGTGTTCAAGGTTGGATGGGGCTTTGAGCAACCTGGTCTAGTGGAAGGTGTCCCTGCCCATGGCAGGGGGGTTGGAAACTAGATGATCTTTAAGGTCCCTTCCAACCAAACCACCCTATGATTCTATGATTATGCCGAAGCTTATTTTGCCTCAAAGTTGTTCTGAAGAGTAAGGAACTGTCTCGGTTCGTGGGTTGCCTTTAGGACCACCAGCTCTAAGAGAGTTTGGCAATGTGAACGGGCTCATTCTAGAGCACTTACTCAAACAGCAACTTCAAGAAATTAGGCTCTAAACAATAGGAATTTGATTTGTGCATGACATTTCATTAACTAAATCCAAACGACTATATTTTTTCAACTAGCAGTGTTTAGGATGACTAGGTTATTGGTATTTAGTTAATGTGCGAACTCAGAAATTCAACTGAAATCTCTGTGTTAGAGACACAAGGAACATGATCTAAGAAGGTACAATGACACTGGCCTGAGCTGAAGCAGTAACTACTCCAAACTTCTGTTGGGGGAAGAAAAGGCTTTTTATTCCGGACAAACCAAAAGCAAGGGCCTAATGGAAACTCAGCTTGAATCTGAACTATGGAGTTGATACATTATACTCCATGGTTCTAGTAACATCAGCAGATCACCTGCAGCAGTTGGCTTTTAGATGTGTGTGACTGTCCCTCTGTGTGTAGGTATCTATTCAGCTGGTGTCAAAGGAAAAGGGACCCAAAATTTACTCTTCCAAAAAACATTCATAAAGATATAAAATCCAGTAAAACAAGAAGGATATCTATTCAGTAGCCAAAATTATGGCAGTCTGCACAGTGATGCTCATGAACTTTAAGGCAGGGCAATTTTCTGTACCTTGATTATCATTAAATATATTGAGAGCTGGAGCAATTTCTGTAGCTTTCCATAGACGTATAGTGCCGTCTGCTGAACAGGACAGCAAACGCTGGTGTGCTCCACTGTAAACCAGACCCCACACTGCATCGGTATGGCCTACAAAAGCACCTCTTAGAACAGAAGGATCTGTGAACAAAACACAACAAACCACATTTCAAAACAAAATTTGAATTAAGGCAATAGTTCTATCCTGGTCTGTGTTTATGGACCAACCTTAAGAAGCTAGTCCATAAAAAAAACCAAGACCAATCAGGTCATATCAATATAGAAGTCTCAGTTATTCTTGTATGAAGATGCTTGAATTTCATGAGCATATGTGGCATTCAGTTATCCAGTTTACAACTAGTGGAACAAAACAAAGTTTCAGCAGAAGGGACAGTATCAAAGTTGGCAAAACACATTTTGATTTTAAAATTCACTTTCAAACAGCCGTTAATGGCACATCAGTCCCTTTTTTCCAAAAGCCACCTTTGAGGCCAACCGCATCTGAAGCTACGAGAAGTGAAAAATGTTTTAAAACACAGACACAAAGCTGACATCCATTCAGATCTGGTAGATCTTACTGAACTGCACCTTTTTAGCTGTTTGCAGACAATATTAACAGCTTTGGTCTCAGACTATACAACCTCTTTTTATCTCAACTGCAGAGATTTGTTGAAGAAAAGAACATTAAAATACACATTTACTGTACTTGCCAATTATCAGGTTTAGTCCTGTAATTTTTCAATCTAGCTGTTTCTCAAAATTGTGATGAGATCAAGGCCCTTTTTAAGAAAATGACAAATGTTATCTTCTCATCAACCAGCATCAGTATTACAAAAATTTTTGTAAATTTTACTGTTACAATTTTACAGTTTACAATTTTGTAAAAATTAGTTTTACAAAAACCTTTTACTATATTTTTTACTTTACTTTGTAAAGTAAAGCCAATGTTCAATTTTCTCTTTTAAATTTTCAAGGAAGTATTACCTACAAATTATACTATTTTAACCACAAAACATTAATGTCACTAAGCGTATCATTTCACTGGTGTGTGTGTCAGCAACGTACCATAAGAGTCATAGGGGTCGATGTTCGGGTTGGTTGTGTTCCAGCCATGAATGAGGCCATCTGTTCCCCCACTGTAACACTGTTCACCATTACTGCTCATCACCACACAGAGCACTGGTCCACTGGAAGAACCGCCCCCAAAGAAATGTTGACTATTAATATTTCTATTATGTGTCAACAGAATCTTCAATTTCCCTGTTAGATACAATTCACTTGCTGCACAGATTGCAACAAAAATTCTGCATAGTCAGATTAGATGCTACAACACTTCCCACAAAAAAAAGCCTCTGCAATATTTGGTAATGTAACTACAATCAGGACAATTTAATCATTATGCACTTGAAATATGAAAAGTGTCACACTTTTAAACTATAGGCTTTGTTATTTTGCATAAGCAGCTTTCTTCCCTTTTTTAAAGATCTACAGCTCTTTCACTAAACCAGTTCAGCAGATTTTAATTCACTGCAAACAGCTTCATTCTACAGATTCACATATCTGACAAAAAGGCAAGAGCTGCAATGACGAACAGAACACCTAATTGAATTTTAACTGTATAATTTGTAGATTTTTCTTTTTAACACTGTGGTGTACCTAGCTCCAGAGATGATTAATTATGCAGCAAGGAGATGAACATATGTAGGTATTTTCAATAACATGGGAACTAAAAGCATCACATGAAATCACTAGTTGACAAGGTGGAAATTACTTTTTAAAAAAATTCTGTGTCTGCCTAAAAATCACATATTTCTCAAAATATGACAATGTTTCTCAGAAAATACTCACTTATGTGCTCTGAAGGTATATATTGGCTCTACATCAAGAGAAGCACTCCTAAATGAAGTACAAGAAAATGTTAATATGTATTTGATGTTACACAATGCTTTACAAAAATGTTCCAGAATTGTTAAACTCTTAAAAATCACTGCTACAACTTTTGAAGTGTTTTTCCCACAACTTCCTCTCCCAACATAGAATCACAGAATCATTAAGGTTGGAAAAGACCTCTAAGATCATCAAGTCCAACCATCAACCCAACACCACCATGCCCACTAAACCATGTCCCTAAGCGCCTCATCTACACGTCTTTTAAACATTTCCAGCGATGGTGACTCAACTACTTCCCTGGACAGCCTGTTCCAAGGCCTGACCACTCTTTCAGTAAAGAAATTTTTCCTAACGTCCAGTCTAAACCTCCCTCGGCGCAACTTGAGGCCACTTCCTCTCGTCCTATCGCTGGTTACTTGGGAGAAGAGACCAACACCTACCTCTCTACAACCTCCTTTCAGGTAGTTGTAGAGCACGATAAGGTCTCCCCTCAGCCTCCTCTTCTCCAGACTAAACAGTCCCAGTTCCCTCAGCTGCTCCTCATAAGACTTGTTCTCCAGGCCCTTCACCAGCTTCGTTGCCCTTCTTGGACACAATGATTTTTCATATGTCCAGGAATTCTTTGCATTCTTTCAAAATATGATAGGATTTGCTTGGTTTTGTTTTGGTTTTTTGTTTAAAGACCTTCAAGGTAGAGAGTCCACAAACTCTCACACACCAATCAAACCAGTAGGTAGGTACATCAATGGTGGGGAAGGAGTGGAGAGCCGTCAGTATCACATGGAATATATCATTAAGTGTTCCCAATCCCTATCAGAGGATAGGATACTTCTGGATTTAGTAATGACACCTTGTTTTTATACCAATGCTATAGCACAGTTACAAACCACCTCAAAAACTGCTGCTCTGGACTTTACCAATCAGGTGGCTATTACAGACTGCAGGAAGACTACATGCTTTGCCCAGTCCTCCTAAAAGGTATGATATACTCCTTTACTATATTAGCCCTGCTAAGAATTTGCTCTCATTTCTGCAAATCCCCAGCAACACGCAAGAGACAGTGTACAAAGGAACCTAGCAACACCTCTGTCAAAGTTTAAAGCTGTACACATGTATATTCATATATGTGTATACATATATATGCATATATATAAATGCATTTTTATACATTTATATACACATGCAAGCACACTAACAGGCCACATCCAAATATTTTCACTAATAAATTAATTTGCCATGTTTCTACAAGGAAAATATAAAAAAGTGAGCGGTTTTCATTTTCACAAACAAAACACATTCACAAGTACGCATGGATTTCTTCTGGCACTCTTTAAAAGTCTCAATACTTCTCTCAGAGCTTGTTTTCCTACTCTTAAATTCAAGGAACAATTTACACTAACTCCAAGGGCCATCCAGTGAAGCGGCATCTACAATTTTTTTTTCTTCATAAATGAAAATGTTTTTTGAAACAAAGCAAAAAAAAAAAAATCTTACTTTTTTGCTGGGGCTGTTTTTTGTAAATTCCACATTTTTAATGTATGGTCCTCTGAAGCTGTTATTAAGACTGGTTCAACTGGATGAAAAGCGAGACCTCTTATTCCATCAAAGTGACTTCTTAATGTGAATTTGGGGTTCCAAGTCTTTCTCAATGCATCCTTATTGTTTGCTATCTAATAAAAAAAGAAATGCCAAACTTAAAATTAATCTGGAAGGCACAAGGAAAGAAAGAAATCAGAAATTTAGTTTGGCATTTTCAGAAGATGTCAAATTACCTCACCCACTTTTCATAACAACCTGCTCTTGAGCAACAGTCCATTTAACACTGATCAGACAATTCAAAATGAGAACGAAGATAGATGTATTCCACAAAGGCAACAAGTAACGTATCCACAGTAATACATCTTCTGCAAATCTGAAATACTCCAGATACTTAACTGTCTGTTAAATTACACAATTTAAAAGCCGAAAAGTACCTTTCTGACTGATACTGCTGTGAACTCAGTTTGGTATTTGAAAGCTTATCTACACCTACTGGCTCATTCATTAACACTGGGCCTGACTCAACCAAACTGTGGTCCCGGAATATCCAAAGTACCACTGACATGGCATCTCTGAAGTAAAGATCTAAGAGAAACAGAGAAGCGTCTAGCAGCACAGAAAGGAACACAATCTAACTTATTCACCTAAGGCAACACAAGCTCTGTAATAATGCAAGACAAGTAAAGCTTGCCAGAAAAAAAAAAAAAAAAAAAAAAAAAAGGCAAAAAGGACTTGGCTACACACTAAGAATATAACTGGCAAGCAATAAGCTATCATATATACAGACACAATTATTTGGCAATAAATGCATTTTTAGCAGATCCAAAAAGAAAGCCCTTAAAAAAATAACAGTTACTTCAACATTGCTCCTCTGAACAAATGTTGATGTAAAATGCTGAACAGACTTTTATCACCCTGTCAGTCAACACTGTCATAGTTAAATTTACCTTCCCATAACCACTGCTGATGGTGGTTATGCAAAACCAGAAAAACAAACAATTGTAACTCAAATATTGATGATTTCATTATGTTGAAAGCTACAGATAATCCCAAATAATTTAGTCTCATTAAGCGCAAAGAAGAGACAACTGTTTTGAGCCACTTCAAGAATCTACATTTTATTCTGGAATGTGGGGAGAAAAAAAACCCAAAACACTAAAAAGGTTTAAGAACAAAAGTGCTTTTTCTTAAGTTTTGTTACTTCTGGATTTAGTAATAAAAAATACGCTTCAATTAAGAGGTTCTATAGATTTTAAACAATGAGAAAGGAGTTGTAACAAACAGCAGGTTTAGTCTCATCATATTTCTTAGTAATTACGTACTGTCTGCTCAGGGAGACAGCTCAGTTTCTTTGCCAGTTTACTGAGCTGAGTTGGCTCAACAAGGGAACAGTCAAACACTGGAGCTGGTGCAAGGATGGGGCAGGACTGCAAAGTTAGCAGCTCTAGCAGATTTTCTGGAGATTGGCCAAGAAAGTCTCAGCAAAAAGGGTACAAGACATACAGAGTATTCACAGATACCTGGAGAGGAATTTGGTTGCCTCAACCCAGGCATCTAATGCAGATTAGGTGACGGAAGGAACCCTGCCTGCCCTCCAGCTGCCATACCAGCAGCACAGGTCCCGTGTCACATCTGCGAAAGCCACACAGACACCTCAGACGGCCTAACAGTGCATGCCAGTTCTGGCAGGATAATATTCTCCATTTGCTTCTCATTCATTTAAAGATGTTCTTCCAAAGGAGTCCAAGATGATTAGCTTATACATTGGGAAGTAAGGGCAGTCCCAGCCAGCAGACCACACCAGTGGCAGAGGTGGAAATAGATCCTAGCCCTGATACGCCGCCTCCCTGGCTGCACCACCATCACTCCTCTTCACCCACCAGCCCCTCACAAGCTGTGAGAGGCTGGGTTACTAACTCGGAAGCCAGCCTCGTCGTCTCTTTCCCCACTAAAATACAACAGTGAGGTAGTCTGAGACTTAAAAAGCAGTGGCGGGGAGGGGGGAGCAGGGAAGAAAGGATGTTCAACTCCAAAATTAGCACCTGATCTGGATTTGCCAGTAATAGTAAATATTTGTGTCTATACAGACAACTGGAAAACTCCAGAAACAGCAATGATATGCAACCAGGATTATGGACAATTCTCTTGCTCAAAGTTGCAGGAAATCAAGCAAGAGCCTACTGCAAAGTCCAAAACCTCCAAGTCAGTACACAACATTAAATGTAATGATTGTGTAGTTCAGATACTCTTATGTACAGTACTCAGTTTATTATCATTTTATGAAGCTTCCTAATCTACCCAGATTAGGGAAAAAAACCAGAACCAACTAAAGTGAACATTTGTTAAGACAACGATGTGTAAAGAAAGCAAAAAGAAAAAATAAACTTAAGAGAGTATTGGCTAGCAATCTGGGAAATTTCATCTTGTTAGATATTCTAAAAATTTACCCACAAAAGGAAAATTTTCTTTTTTAAGTAATAAATTCATAATCTCCATTACCAAGTAAAAACCATTATTTAATTTACAGACAGCCAAAGCAACATGTAAAAACTTAAACTGGGAAATGAAGTAGGCTAATGCTGCCGTGTTTTAGAAGAAAAGAATCCAGTAAAAGTGTCAGTGGGAAGAAAGGGAGTGAAAATAGGAAAGTGTCTGCAACTCTTGAGAGCAAATACATTTAAAGACTGATTCACATGAAATCTTTCCACTTCATTCTTCATATGATTCAAAATTGACACTTAAAAAAACATACTAAGTTTCCACTAATCCTACCTGATTGACATTTGGCAGTCCAAAATAAAAACAGATTATATTATTTACAAGCTAAACTTCCAGTGAAATTTGAAATGGAAAAACTAGCCTTTCGTTTTGCTTCAATAAAGAGCACAGCGACAAGAGCAAGGAGCTTTGTAAACTTTTTTTTTTTAAAATTGTCAGCACTGGAAAAGATAAGAGGTAAGGTAAGCATGACTATGAATTCCTGATCACAGGACTTCATAAAGGCATTTAACAAATGAACAAACAGAAGTTAATATTCTCAACAAGCAGAAAAGGATAGGGGTGGATAAAGAAATGCTAGATTCCATAAATGGAAGCTGTTAGTTCAGGATATGGAGACATGGACAAACACTATAGTTTATACGGGCACTTGAACAACGAAGTCAAGCAGTGAAAGCATTAAGCTCCTGTACAGATGGTTTAGGTTTGTCATGTCCTCTGAATTTAAAAATTCAGCATGGAAGTTTTAGGTGTAACTGTGAAAGAAATTAAATTTGTACACCATCTTACCCCTTTTTGGAGACAAAGTTAGGGAAGATTAGCAAAAAAATGAAGATCTGAGCCCAGATTAGGAGATAAGGATAAAATACTGAATTTTAGCAGAGATGTTCTACATCATTGCAATCCTGATGATTCACAACACATCACATGCTCAGAAACTTGCTATAGTAGTAGAGCACACCTCTGCAGTGTCACTCTCAAAGTGTGTGTGAACTTTTAACTATGTAATTTACTGCTTTACAAGTACATACAAGGGTAGAACTTCAAAGTAAGGACCTGCAGGTTATTTCTGAAGTCTCAGATTTGATTTGTGATAGTAAAATCCCAGATGGTGATTACTTAAGAGTCAGATTTACTGAAGGGTATAACTCCTCCCCAACACGCAATACTAAAAAATCATCTCTGAAATCCCTCAACCTTGACAAAACTGGACAATGAAATAGCAAGATTAATCTGAAGTTGACAGATCACAAAGGAACAGATGATTAAAGTAATACCTGAAGTATCTTTTTCCAAGAAATCAGAAATACAGACAAAAATTGCATATGACTGCAAAGAAGCAATTTTAAGAAAGATTTTTCATAAAAAGTGAAAGAAAAAGAAGCCATAGGCTACACACATAGCCACAGAAGTGGTGGCCACAAGAGCCTCCTAAAAAGTCTCTGGTCCAGCTTCCCATCTGAAATGAGACTATTGCCCACACCAGGTAAAGTAAGCCACAGCTCTCCCCCAGCCAAATCTTGAACATCTCCCAGGAGAGGGATTCCACAGTTTCTCTGGGTAACTTGCTTCAGTACCATCTCCTATGTAACACTTTTTCCCCTAATGTCCAAACTGAACCTCCCAAGCCACAATTTGCTACTGTTTCCTCTTGTTTTAACACCAGGCACTATGGAGAAGCTTGGCTCTGTCATCTTTGTAAGCATCCTTCCAATATCTGTAGGCTGCTATTCAAGCACCCCTTAGCCTCCTAACAACTGAACAAGACTAATTTGCCTCAACATCTCCTCATCAGTCACATGCTACTGGAATTTCTCCAATTTCTCCACAACCCTCTTGAAGTGGAGGGACCCAAAACTGCATAGAGGTATGGCCTCACCAGAGGCCACGTAGAGGGGACATTAACTTCCCTCAATCTGCTGACCATGCTACTCCTAATTTTGCTCAGCTCACTGGGGTTACAAGCATCCAGCTGTATCACTATCACTAATTAAATCTATTTTCAACTTTCAACTCTTTGAATGACACGAGGCAAATGAGAGAAGGAAAGGGGCTTGCAGAGAGCTTCAAGGCTGCTGTGTATGGGAAGAACAGATATGTCAAGTAAAAATGTGTGACATCCTTTGGCAGCATAATTTTAACAGGAAAATGTTTTCTGCTGAGTGTACACACATGTAACTTGCATCTGCGTTCAGCAAGTAGACAGTAGGATCTGGAGTTACCATTAATAACCACTTACATCGTAAGTCAGTGAATCTGCCTCATTGGCTACTGTAAGGCCTGCCAGTTCTCCAAGACCCAGCTCATTTTCAAGGGCTTCATCTGTTCCCATAATGAAAGACTTCCCTGAAGAAGGAGGGAATGTTAAAGCTTCCACTGCAAGGAAAAAAAAAAAAGAAAAATCCTGAAACATGGCTTTATACAACGTTGATTAATAAAAGCATATTTTCCACTTCCAAAATACTAAACATCTCTCAAGTAGCTGAGGGCAAAAAGATATAAAAGGATGCATAAAAAAAATAGCCATTCTAAAGATAATCACTGTACTTAACAATAAACAGTATCCTCTGAACGTAATACTTACACTTGACGTGTGCATGACTGAAGACAGTAAGTGTCATTAGCCACAGGAGGGAAGAATACACATTCACCCATATATAATGCAAAAGTAACACAGAAAAGCTCAGGCCCTTCCCCAACTCCGTTATAAAATATGCGAATAGGCTCTGGAGAAGTAGCAAAAATGTAGACAAGAATAGCTGGTGGGAGCAGCTGGACTCCTCCTTCCTAACACTGTATCCACATACATCCAAAAGCATGTCTACAATGAAGCTGTTTACATGCACTCCTATCTAGCAATACAACTGGAAGCTGAGAACTCATCACTACTTGAAAAATCAGTTTAACTACCAAACAAGTTAATCAGCACTGAATTCCAGGTTTTTACTAGCAGTACCCAAACTTACTAGTTTACAACTCTACAGCATGCCTATAGGAGCTCCAGTCACTGTAACATAAACACATCCGTAGGCAGATTCACTAGAAATGGGAGGATCAAAGGCTAAGAGGAATACAGTTCACACACTTATACCACATAAGGCTCTGCATCAAGTGGTACGACTCGATAGAAGCTGTGCCTTTACCAACTTCCCTGTACAATAACTCTCCAAGTCTATACATCACAAAAGGGGGACTGCACAGATGAAAATGTGTTACCTTCTGGACACAAGAGACTTCACTTAATTTTATACACCTCTTGCCTCAAATTACAAGGGTTTTTCAGTAAATTACATTTTCTTCCCCTTTTAGCTCCACGGTAAATACAAGCCTTGGCAAATACTGTTGCTACCAGGGAGAGAGAAAAGGAAACACCATCTCATTCTCAGCATCTTATTTAGTCTAACAGCACCAACACCAAGTTAAAACCAAGCAAACTATGGTTTACAATGAATAGCCTGATCTGTTCAGGCTGCTTCCCTCTTGTCCCGAAGGCATCAGGTTCAATTGCTATTCAATTCCTCTCCAGCCTACTCAGCACAAACTCAGCCAATCTTTCCATGGTCTTTCCATTCCACACTCATCCCTCTATTGAGTGTCCTGTTTGCTTTTTATTACATTTTACAAGCAAATAAAAGCCCTTCAAGCTCTGCCGTTTGATTAGGTCTCTTAGTTATTATCTTTTAATCACAAATATCTCTTACCTTCTTCACCCTGAAGCCTAACTACCATTCTCTTTTTCTCTCTTTTGAACTTATGATGTAATATTCCACTCAACACGCAATACATACAGGATATCAAATTTGAAAAGTTACTAGAATAGAAAAATTGTATGCCAAAAATATCATAGAGTCTCAGATTTATAAAGGCATACACAGCTAATAGTTTCTAACACTGAACTCAGACTGATAACAATCAACTGTCCTCTTCTGTTTTTGTGAGAGTCCATCTGAGTCTCTGAACTAAAAAACATATTCTTGAAAGGACATGAAAATAGAGCTCTGCTAATATGGCTCTCAGTACATGTGAGAAAAGTTAGAAAGGAAACATTCAACAAAAAATTCCTCCACTTCTCAAAGTGTTGCTAAGTCACCTCCTTCTTCATAAAGAAAATCACTGAGCATATAGGAGATAGAACTACTGAGATCTTTGGTAACTATGCCACACGCCAGGGCTTTTTATGCATCTTAATTATAACTTGGCTGACCTACTTTTTCACACTCACTGAAAGACTGCTAAGTGAAACCCGTGTTTTGCTCATTTTTCAAAAGACAGATTTACCATTTAAATAAAGAGCACGTGATATGATCTCCTACAAATTAATACAGCCTAATATATTTATTTTATTATGCTGCATATTATAGCAATTCAAATGTTGAATCAATAGATGATTTGGTAACTTTCAGACATAATACTCATGAAGGTAACCACATGCCTGATTGCAAAGATGCGTGGCTTTCCATAATTGGACTAGCCTCTATAAAATTTTTTTTTAATTTTTGGAACACATTATGGAAATTAATACATTGGCAAGCTGTAAGGTGTTCTGTATGATTCACTACACAATCACCACATGCATTTAAAAGCTATATCTAGCCACTTGCGTTTACCTGTAGAGCCTCTATCCTTGCACTTAAAAAAAGAATGCAAGGATATGTGTGTGTGTGTGTGTGTGTGTGTGTATACATACATTTAAAATTATGTTCATGGGGAGAAAAACAAATGCTCTTATGTCCTGAGAGTTTATGTTCCACACAAACAAAAGCAAGTGACTTAAGATCCTCATATTACAAAGCCACCAAGTGCCAAATGAGTTTTTTCCATCACGTTCAAAGGTATTCAGCTAAGACTTTACCTAGGTAAGTGTCTTGACCTTACCAATACTGACCAGAGGGGAGGAATGGGAATGACATTTATTGCACTTAGACAGAATTCATAATGCTAAATCAGTATTTGTAAAGTACTTGGAAAGTCTTTGAGGATAATCTTTAAGCAGAAGTAACTATAAACGTCTACCCTTTACAAAGGTGTATGTACATTTTTAATACTTACCTTCATCCGTCCTGTTTATCTCATGTTCAATGAGCCTTGAGCTACTGGGCCTAGAAGAAGGTGCAACAGATGGCTGTAATGAAGGGAGATCATCAACATCTCTCAAGTTTGCAAGCATATCTTGCAGCTTTGACCTGTTGGGCCCTAACCAGGAAAAAAAAAAATTAAATGGTTTATGCATAGTTCGTGATGGCGCTACTTATATCAGATATGCTACAGGAGCACATGCAACAATGGATCCTACGTTGCATTATAACGTTACCACAGAAAAACTAATGAGCATCTATTTTCAGCAGTAACTAATCATCCAGCATGAAATGAATTTCTTGAAAAGAAAGTGATAGAAGCAACTGAGAATTGTGAACACACAATTTTCCCCACATTTATAAACTCATACTGCTACTTGCATGGGATGCTGAAGAATGCCTCCAACTGAGTCATACTGATTATTAGAATATTTACTTTTCAAAAAAAAATAGCAGACATTTGTGAATATTTTAAAATTTGTGCATCAGGTACTTTGTGCAGCATATTCTTATGACAACATGATTATTTAAAATTTATTTGTGCAGTAGTGTAGTATCGTGAACTATATAATCCAAAAAGTTATATTAAAATATAAATGCAACTGGATTCACTGGCCTACTTCCTGAAGCTATATATGGTGAAGACCCATGCCCTTCTTGACACTTACCTGTGCTTTGCTCCATCATTTTCCCACATCCCTGTTTTGACTGTTTTATATAGGATTGAGGCTGAAACATATCTTCGGTAGTTTTTCCTGTTGTAAGTTTAATTAAGAATGGGAAAATGTCTTACCCATAGTCCATTATGTTTTTTCCTAGACCAGTAAATAATACAGCTATTTTTAAGCAGCTTTAACACAGAAGTGTACTCTAATATATGTATTCTCTCATAAAGCCATTCTATGATTCTATGATTCTATTCTCTTATTACTTCACAGGAGTGTTTACTACAGCCTTGCAAAATCGTAAGTTTACTAATGCAGTTGCAAAGTCCAGTTTGTCCACCCTAACCATAATGACAGATAATAAACTAAATTGTATTTAACTTGTCTGTCACAAAAATATTACTTGATTCAGGAAAACACTAAGTCGGATTTTGCAAGATTGTTTTACTATAGTATCTGATTTATAAAAACCATATGTTACTTAGTAGCAGTTCAGTGTCTAAGTACCATTTATGATGAGATTAGTCACAGAAACAAATTTTGTACAATTTAATGTCAAGATATTTAGTCTCTTCTGTTTTCCCCAGACTTCCTTCCTCACATTCTTCTTCACTACGTGCAGTATCATGAATAGCTGAAAACAGGCTGTGATTCTTCCCGATCTTTCTGCATTGATGCCCTTCCAACGATGGTTTGTCCATGGAAAGATGCTTAATTTCTGTACTGCAGTAAACCATTTGGTGTCCCAAGATCAAACCAATCAAACCAATCCAAAAGGTAAATGTACTGAGCAGTAGTTATATTCATGAAGGAGCACTGGATGTCCAAGTGCTGCCTTACATCAAGAGTTTTTTCTCAGAAATATATAAAACGTTCCAATAATATCTATGTCTATATTAACAATTAAATATTAAGTTTTATTATCAAAAATAAAAAGCACTCAACAGCTGTTCAACAATACAATTTCAGTTTGACTAAGTAATTTCTGCTAAGTTAACCCTACAACTATTTACCCTGAACTACATGGCATGTCTGTGTATTTTAAAAATAACAGACAAGTTACAAAAACCAGTTTCACTGACATCATATATTGGTATGCTCTCTCTATCTTAACTATAAAGAAATTTAGAATCAATTTTGTGAAACATGAACACTTTAGTTGGCCAGCTCAGCTTCTTGTCAGACTTGCAATTAATTTCCAGTAACTTAAATGATTCCAAAGATGACAAAAATATCACTTGAGAAATTCAAAGTATGGTAATAATTTACTTTTTTCATAAAAAAAATTTAAAAAGGAGGTTTAGTTTGTACATTTGATAGCATAATTTCAGCAACATAACCAACTGCTGAGCAGCAGCTTATCACAGTATCAATACAAAAAGTAAAACCAAGTCAGCCTTAATGATGCAAGGATCTGACACTTTTTGCATGGTTATGCATGTCTCTTTGGAAGTGAGAATTTCCTTGGTATTCATAAGCATCTTCCCACAAAGGGAGAAACATCCCTCAAATTTCTTACTGGGCTACATGCAATACTATTAATTTACATCATTCACACATGAATTCTCAATATGGCTAAGATGTTTGAAATGTAGCTGTGAATACAGTGTTTCATTTTAAACACTTAATCTGAGTTCAAAAAGTTTTAAGGCTTACTTATCAAAAAACATCGATTTTACAAAACAGATTTGTATTTCAAGAAATGTAACAAAAAATATAATACAGGGCTAGAAACCGTATTTCAGATACTCATCACAGTTTTTTGTTTGGATAACAATACCCAGCATTTTTAAAGGCTAGTCCCACAGGTATGAAAGTCAATAAATAAATCCTGTGATTTACAAATAAACTGATGGTCAGAGTTGCTTCCTATTTCGAGCCCTGCATAACAAATTACGATGACAGCATGACTTTCATGTTGTGAATGTTAAGTATAAACAGGGGTAGAAATTAACCTGTTTACTCCCTCTGTCATCTAACAGGATACTCAAGACAGTTTCTGTTTGGTTTTTTTATTTACATACCAGACTTTAACTCTTCCTGTGAAACTGGCATGTTTCCAGCTAAGAAAGGATTCTGAAGTCTTCTATATTAAAGTGTGAACTATTAAACCAATGCCTTTTACAATTTAAGTTTCTGAATAACAGAAGTACAATCCATGCTCAAAGAAAGAATTTTTAATTAATCCAACACCTGGTTGGAAGAAGTTATATCTAATCCAACTATTTATCAGATAACTTGATTAACTGTCATTAATTTCAACCCCTGAGAACTGGTGAACGGGAAAGCAGTCAGGAGCAGCAAAGTAAAAGAGTAAGTAATTTTAGGAAAACATTGAAAGAGAGATAGAATTAAGGGTGTGAAAGATGTGGGATTTATGATTTTAAGGTGCAATGTTTTCCACTTACTCTTAACCCCCTTTTTCCCCTTGCGCTCCTTTTTGTATTGTTCCTTGAGTTTGGTTATTACTCCCTGGTCGACATTCCAAGCTTCAGGCATGAGACACTGGTCTTCCTTTTCTAAACAAAGTGAAACAAATGAAACATCCTTTTTCAATAATGTCACCAAGTGATCTCCACTGAAGGAGGTAACAGCTGCTGTCAATGGCATTTGTCTTTTATTTTAAACAGACAGAAATAGCACCAAGCTTGTGAAAGCTGTAAAACTGCTACTCACATTCCACTTCTATTTGCTCAGAATTTTCTTAACAAAAAAATTGAGGTGAAATTTCACATCCTAATTTCTATAACCAAGCATATAGCTGTTCATAAATGTAAGCAACATTTACTTTATAATAAATCAGGACATATTTTTCAGCTTTTTCTTTCCTCCAGGGAAAGAATTATTATATCTAGAAGCAGCAGCTATGTTACTGGTCAACATAACTTCACAACTCAGATGTTGAGTCACTGCATTTCAAATTCTTATTTCATTGTCTTTGTGCTATGCTGTCATTTATAGAAAGCAGCAGCACATTTAAATCATTTTGGAACATAGTATACATGTCACCAAGGTTTGAATAAAATCTTAAAGCACTAAATCCATGAAATTTCACAAAAAGGGGAAGGTCTGAGTTATTAGTCCTTGAAAAAATACACAAAACATTTCAACATGCCTAATGAAAAAAAAAATCCCCACGCTTTTTTTATTTCAACATCTCTCTCAAGTTGCTTCCCCTGTGACATGATACAGAGAAGTATTCTTCCCATAGTACGGTGTTTGGAGATTTTGAACAAAACGTGTTCCAAGTAATCTTGGAATCTCCAAGTAATTTTTTTGCATATATGGAAAGACTGTACTGAGGCAACTTAGAAAAATAACTTGCAAGAGGAGGGAGGTAATACAGCTTTTCCTCATATATATTTATTTTCATAACCATTACAGCTACGAAATTTTTTGAAATGCATTATCTTTTTGCTTTGTTTTTCTCATTAAAATATCAACCTTATTATTTAAAAATTAATTCCTTTCAGATCAAGTTTGCTTTGTACATCAATAAACTATTCTAGACCTTTTAAAATACAAACAACAATAAACTTATCCTCAGACTAATATGCAGAAAGGATATTAAATGCCTATAGAGGAAGCACAACCCTATCAATCACAACCTGAAGGAGTCACTATGATTGGACAGAAGATACAAAACAAGACATGGGTTATTATGGGGACTGACTTGTTAGAAATTAACGATGTTGAAAAAGACCTAGGGATCCTCCATCAACATCAAATTGAACAACAGTCAGCAGCATACTCTTGCAGCAAAGGTGATCAATCGTATCCTGGGCTGTATTAACAAGAACGTAGCCAGTAGGGTGAGGGAAATTATTATTCCCCTCTGTTTGGCACTTGTGAGACCACACCTTGAGTACTGCATCAAGTACAGTATTTCTTATACTGGGAAGCCTTGTAAGTATGATGCTAAGTGCCTAGTATTGACACAGTATAGCAAGTCCAGGGGAGCCACTAAGATGGTTAAGGCAGCTGGAGCAGATGAGCTACAAGGAGGAACTGAGACTACTGTGAGTGTTCAGTGATGGCAAAAGAGACATCTTAGTGCTGCCTACGACTACCTACTGGGCAGGTGTAGAGAAGACAGAGGCAGACTCTGCTTGGACTTGCATCACAGAAGGACAAAATACTTTTTACCACGAGGACAGTCAAATACCAGAATACTGCCCCTGAGAGTTTATGGGAACTCCTTTCTTGGAAGATATTCAAAACTTGACCAGAAGAAGGCCAGAGTAACCTGCTGCAAATGGACCTGAGCAGGAGGTTGGACTAGAGGATCTCTCACTTCTTTGATCTCTCCAGTCACAATCCTATAGTCATGAATGACAGATTAATTCAAGACCCAAAGTCTTGAGGCATTAGTCTTTTTGCAGCAGCTATGAAAATAGAGAGGTATTAATAAGCTGAAGAGAGACTCTAAAAAAGATGGTCTGTGGGCTAAGTCATGTCCTCCTAACACATATGCCCAATTAATTACCACTAATGATCAAAAATTGCGTGAAGAACTCAAAAAAGGTAAAATCGTGCTTGAGAGAAAAAAAAGTATGTATTCTTTCTGGGACCAGGTTATAAGTTTTAATCATGCTTTTCCTCCCTGGCTAGACAAGATTTTTGCTCTCCTCCAACTAAAAGTTTAAATGGATTTATATTAGCTTGTATTGTTGCCAGGAAAATACTTAATACATTAATTCTCTACAGACTGTCCCAGGATGCTTACTGCATGCCCCACAGGTTCTGTTCAACTTCATAAGTGGATCCTGAACTACTACTGTGCAAGTGCTTTATAGTTTAAAAGTTACCTGAACACTTCTGAGGACCTTTCAAGCCAAATGGGTTCAACAGATTACTGTAACTGATGAGTAATACTTGGGATCCAAAATGAAGCAAGGACTTCCTCTGTTTGCTTCTATCCTTGTTACACAACATCAGTCTTCTATGCTACATTTACTAGTTTCGGTTAAATCAAATTAACATAAGTGATTCATAATGGCAGTTCCTTGCAGTAGCTTATTCTCATATACAGTTACCATAAGGACACAGGTTGTGAAACAAGTAATTGAAAAACATGAACGTCTATAACTCAAAAAAACCCTTAATATTTCTAGAAATGAAACTACTACTTTCCATGACAATTTATTTTTAATGTTAGACTTTTGCTCATTTGTGCTCAGCTGTCATCAATGAAAGTAAAAATAAACCAGAAGTGTGAATTTGAGAACAAAAAAGCTCCTGTTGGCATACTAATTTTCCAATGACACAAGCAATAGCTACATGTATCAAGCATAAATGGGTAAAATTTTAATATTAAAGAGAAGTATCAGAACAATCTAATACAAATATTTTTCGTAAAAAAGAGTAACATTCCTAAAATTGTTTGGTGAACAGAATACTGACTGCTGTATCTAACGATATTAGACACATCCTCTTAAGCAGAGAGACTACACCACACTGAACAGTAATTTGCAGTCCAACATGCAGGATCTGGACATGGCTTCAGTGAAATACAGCATCTCAGAGCTTATGAGAGCCACAGCTACCACAGCTTATTTGTCTGTCAAAGTTTCAGTTCCATTATAAAGCTCAATTATTTCCCATTCATCTTCCATAGCTCCCTCTGCATCCACTTATGCTTAAGACTTTCCAGAGCAGCTTAAGGAGGAAGCAATTCCCCATCAAGATATTTAACCAGTTTTCTTCCTTCTTTCCTCTCTTATGCAGTAGGTTTATGTGGAATAGTTATGTCAAGGTAAAGTGGATGCTGGCATTCTGGTTGCAGGACATGAACCTCAAAGGAGAGAGGACAGTTTGTGAAATGTCTCTCTATGACTAGTGGGCTTAAAGATATATTTTTCTGATAAATTATAAAAGAAAATTTGAGCAACTGAATAGTTCATATTGCCTAAATTGCTAACACACAATAAGAGTACAACTAATTCAGTCTTTATGACTCACATTACTCTGTATCAAAGTGGGAGAAAGCAAAGAAGACAAAATAACTTTCATGTCATAATTGTAAAATACAGCTTTATCAGAGCCCTTCATTAGCATGGGTCACTGGAACAACACATTGAAATTCCACTCATAAAACTCAAATTCTATCTGCCTTATCATTCAGATATCAGCATTCTCATAGAGAAGCTGGCGGCTC